AAAAATTTGGTTTTTTGCGTTCCTTTACTTTTCCTGTTATTCTCTTTAAGTGAGCGCATTTTGCTTACGCTCTGGCATTTTGACACTTTTCAGATTTTAGTCCAAAAAGATAAGGAATGAACCTAATAATAGCATACAAGATTGCGCCGATTGCAGCAGAATTCGTGAGAGTAATTTTGGCGGGACGTCATCGTAGAGTTGACAACTGAGGGCAAGATAAAACTGCTCTCTAGTAATATGCTGAATTTTCGGTACCCAATACTTAGAAAAGATTACGGTACCCAATACTTTTCGGTACCCGATACCGATTCTTTACACTAAAGGCTCTGTTATGCATACTTGGCATTGCTTGAGAGTTGTCACATAAGGAATCTGTTAAATGAGCTTCGCGTGTAAGCTGTTACCCAACGCACAGCATTACATACGTAAAAGTCTGTTGGTTTTTGATTTCTACGTAAAAATGGTATAGCAGTGCATGCAATGCCAAGTATGCATAACAGAGCCTTAAGGGCCGGTTACTCAGTGTCTGGTTAACACTTATCTGCGGTTAAACATCGTTATCGACGACTTCGACTCCATGCATATAACAGGGAGCCGGTAACGTCGATAACTATGTTTAACCGGAGATTAGTGTTAACCAGACTTTGAGTAACCGGCCCTTAACCTTCGCCATTATATGCATTTCAAGTTTAGAAAAAACTTTCATTACTAATTTATATGATGTCGGCTAAAACACTTAAACTTATCGCAACAGAGAAATATTATTTTATCAGTTATAACCTTAGTCGATCTAAGGTTCAAGAAAAATGCTTTGCCGTATGAAGAAGCCTTTCGGGTCGTGATGTATTCGCCCGGACCCATAGGGAAATATATGAAGGTAAGTGATTTTTACACCTTTCCTGTTTGCTTGCTTGTTAACTATCATTTTTCACTTTTTTAAGGTCGCATACCTGGAAGGCGTGGCGGCGAAACAGGACGCGCTGCAACGGTAGATGTTGAAGTTTTGTTAGAGGAAATGGAACTAGGTCCATCGACTTTAGTGAGAATGAAGAAAAACTACAGTTCACAAAGCTTTAAAAGACCATAGATTTCATCCCTACCACATTCAACGTGTTCAGGCTCTAAAAGAAAGAGAATACCTGTCGAGGGTTAGATTTTGCCGTGAAATGTTGCGAATGCATGCATCAGACCCCAACTTTTTTAATAAAATAATTTGGAGCGATGAATCATCATGCAAACGTGATGGTTATTTTAATTTACATAACCTTCACAGTTGGCAGATAGACAATCCTCACGAAATGAGAGAACGGTACAAAATAAATTTATGGTGCGGTATTTTTAATTGTCAGATATTAGAACCTGTGGAACTGCCGCCAACGCTCAACTCTCACAGTTATTTAGAGTTCCTTCAGGAACGGCTTCCAACTCTTTTAGAAGATGTACCCTTAAACCTGCGGCGAAGACTATGCCTGCAAAATGACGGGTGCTCTGCTCACTACGGGCGTGAAGTAAGAGCTCATTTAGACGAAACTTATCCTCGCCGATGGATTGGACGATACGGGCCAATTACGTGGCCCGCTCGATCGCCAGACCTGAATCCATTAGATTTTTTCTACTAGGGCTGTCTTATTCGTGTCTAGTGACGAGAATATATGTTTATGTATGTATGTATGAGAATATATGTATATTTATACATACCATAGCAACTGTATAATCAATGGAATTAATCTCTTCTCCTTTTATAACAATGAGACTTATGTCATATCGATGTTCGTTCATAAACTTGACAACTTTTTCCTTCAAATACTCAGCAGAAG